GGAGCTCAGGGAGATGGGGTGGAGCTCAGGGAGATGGGGAGGAGCTCAGGGAGATGGGGTGGAGCTCAGGGAGATGGGGAGGAGCTCAGGGGATGTCACTGAATGGTAAATAAACACTTCAGCTACCATATTCAAGGCCATAGGTTTCATCCCTAGCACCAGCAAAAAGAATGTAGCAGTTACAATCTTGCAAGTATTTATATAATTGTAACCATTAGTAATTTTCTAAATACAGATCATAAATATATTTAATATTTACACATATTATATTTATATGGGTTTTTCTTACTTTGATGCTTCACCATGGATGTCCTTCTTTACTTTGGAAATGTTTTTCCTCAGAGCTTCTAAATCACTGGAAGTTCTATTGAGAGTAGCTTTTAAAGTATCCAGCTGTTTGTCAGTAGACAGACAAAAATTACATATTCACATTGGACAAATTAATTTCATTTCTGAGAAACTCTATTCTCCCTACTTCTAATTCTAAGCTAATAGCACCCATTAAAATAGCAACTTTTTGTAATTAACACATATCTGTGGTCTTTCTGATTCCCATATCAAATTTTAAATGACTTGTTTCATAGCATGAAAATGGTAAATAGTTCCATATGTAAGTTGAAAGTATGTGTAGAAACATCTTTAGGGGGTAACAAAAACACTCTAGTTAGCTAGCAGAGACTATTCAGACTATTCCCACAACTACATGAATGTCCTGGAAGCCACTCATTTGTATTATGTGAAGGACGGCTGGGTCTTTGGGAATTACACCCCTGTCCACTTCCCTGCAATGGTTAAAGCTCTCAGCAGTGACGTCTAACATAAGCAGAAATTACTTTCTTTAGAAACTTATGCAATTATCTCTTTGACAGAAAAAATAATCAGAGAGGAATGTACAACGTACTGTATAATAAAATGGTTTCTCGCATTCTGCTTTTGGCCTAAGTAGTAGTAGCTTTAGCTAGCAGGGACTCAGTACAGAAACATGGGGGTCCTTTCATTGCTGAGGACAGGATCATTAACTTGCACTATGCAACAGTCTAGCTGTTTGGAAGCTGCAAAAGAAGTCGAGGACAGGAGCTTTGCTCTCTCTGTGTCAAGGTCATTCATCACCTACTCTTACGGCCAGACTGAAATATTGTCCCTTAACAAAGTGAAAAACAACTTCAGCAGGTCACTGGCAGAAGCTGTCAGCCAATGTCACACATACTCAACACTGGAAAGACAATCCCAGCTATCTCTCAGAACATTACAGCAACACTCCTCATATGTGCCAAGTCCATCGTGATCCCTATGTGAAGCATTAGGAGAATCTGGCCTCACATCCTCACAGATGCTAGGCCTGGAAAGAGCTCTGGCAGTGCCCAGCATAGATCCCTGTACAGGACCTGAGGTTTAAGACACTCCCTGTGGCCTCGCCATCCAAGGGCTCAAACAAAGTACCTTAAAGTCCCATTGAAAGTACCCTAAAGTCCCATTATGGGGATATGAGTGCACTATGGTGGCACATGCCTTTATTGTGTGGGAGGCAGAAACAGGAAGGTAGACCTCTGATTTCCTGGTCAGCTTGGTCTATATAGCAAATTTCAGGCCAGCCAGGCCATAGTGAAATCTTGCCAAAATAGAAAGAAAAAAATACATGAGAGCACACAACACACACACACACACACACACACAGATTTAAGGAAAAGAGCCGGCAAGCCACTCCCTAATCAAACAGGCCTTTGGCATCGACTGAGCAATCTGTTAGGAACACAGAGCAGTGTTTGGTGACACACCTCGTCCTTCAGCTGACTCCTGCTGGCTTCATGCTGCTGGTAATCCACCCTGTACTTTAAAACTTTCCGCTCGGCGAGAGAAATTCTTCTCTCGTATTCTACGTTGTTCCCAACCTCACTCTCCAGAAACTTGATCTTTTCTTTCACCACACCTTCTTTTTCTCTTATTTCCTGCTTGATCCTTGCTAATGTCTAGGATTGAAACAAATGTGTGCATTTAAATATTGAGTACCAACTAAAATACAAAGAAATTTCGTTTTCATTTTTATATTCAGTATTTATTTTTTACAGGGAAAAAAAGTCTTTAAAAATACTTTTACTGTTGCAGGGAGTGTTTTGTTGTTGTTGTAGCCCTGGGTGGTCTGAAACACTCTGTGAAGACCAGGCTCATCTTAACCTCACAAAGATCCACCTGCCTCTGCCTCTCAGAGAGCTGGAGTTAAAGGTGTGTACCACCGGCCGGGCGGTGGCGCTCGCCTTTAATCCCAGCACTCGGGAGGCAGAGGCAGGCGGATCTCTGAGTTCCAGGCCAGCCTGGTCTACAGAGTGAGTTCCAGGACAGGCACCAAAACTACACAGAGAAAACCTGTCTCGAAAAAGAAAAAAGAAAAAAAAAAAAGTGTGTGCCACCACACCTGGCTAAAAATAAGGTGGATATCAATATGCTACACCTGAATATCTATGAATTCACATTACTGAATGCCAATGTGTTTTTTATATCTCTCTGGAACCTTGCAGAAGAGCAAGGAAACAGTTAGCCCTTTATACAGGAAGGGAATACCCACCCACCCCCAAAAAAGAAATAGTACCGAATATTTTTTTGCACACAATCTTAGGCCTCAGTGAAAATTTATAAATACTGTATAGACCCATTTTTACTTTTTTAAAAATAACTTAGCCAGATGTGGTAGCACATATTTACAGTGCCAGCATTCAGGCGGTTGAGTGGAGAGTAGCTGAAGTTTGAGGCAACCCTGAGCTCATGGTTCAAGGCCAGCCTGGGTACACAAAGAGACTCTGTATCAACAAGACAACATGCAACAAAAATACATTTTTGTTATTGATTTTGTCTTAGTTATGACTTCTATGGCTGTGAAGAGACACCATGACCATGGCAACTCTTAAAAAAGAAAACATTTAGCTGAGATGGCTCTTACAGTTCAGAGGTTTAGGCCATTACCATGATGATGGGGAGCATGGCAGCATGCAGGCAGACATGGTGCTGGCTACATCTTGGTCAGAAGGCAACAGGAAGTGAACTGGGACACTGGGTGGTATCTTGAGCATATATGAGACCTCAAAGCCTGCATCTACAGTGACACACTTCCTCCAACAAGACCATGTCTACTCCAACAAGACCATATCTCCTAATCATGACACTCCCTATGAAATTATGGGGGCCAATTACATTCAAATTACTACAGGTTTCAGTGAGAATGTCCTTACAGGCTTTTTGATTATCTTAAAGTTATAATAATAAAAATAATCCTCAGAATCCTTATGTACAGGCAAAATACTCCAAGAAAAAGGAGATCATAACCCCTATCCAACAGAAGCTGCTGGCTATATTATCCACAGGTAGCCTTGCCTTCACCCTGAGAACCAGCTTTCATGGTATCAAAAGGCACCATGCAAGCTTCCTAATGAGGGAAGCAACCAACAGTCCATCTATGATGCCTATGAACCACATCAATAACCAGCATGGCACAATGGATGAAGTAGTGGCAGTCAAACCTTGGCAGTATCTTAATTGGACTAATTGGACTTAAGGCCCACTTAAGAGGAAAATCATTCCTGGTGTTAGAAACCTACCTAACTACCCAGGATTAGTGAGGTCATGGATGCTGGAGGAGAACCTATGACCACTTTACTAAAACAATATAATCTCTAACTACATCCTAAATACTTTTCCTTATACTCATAGATAAGTGTAGTCTTCACTCTTCATCAAGGAAACTTCCCTTTGTGACAGACAGAGACCATAACAGAAAATCATAACCAATCAAAATGCAGAGTTGAAGAGCCTGGTCCACTCTCACACCTAAGGTTAAGGGAACATTGAGAAAGGAGAGGGTGGAAAAATTGTAAAGCCAGAGCATCTGGACGTTTTCTATGAGACTGTGTCTCCTAGCAACATCAAAAACTACAATTGGAAAGTTTCACCAACATGACTGCCCAAACGTGAACTGAACAAGTAGACATGCTGAAGTAGATGGGAAAAGTCCGTGATGCCTCAACCCTAGACAAAGAACTACAGGCAACTAAGGAATGCTGAGTGGGAGAAACAGTCTTCCCTAAGGAAGAACACACCAGCTGGTTATCCTATACCAAATTGTCAGTCCTGAAAACATACCTGCAAACAATGTTATAAAAATTGAACAGGCTATATTTAGGGATATATGTGTGTGAATGTGTGTGTGTGTGTGTGTGTGTGTGTGTGTGTGTGTGTGTGTGCATGTGTGTATGTGTATGTGTGCGTGTATGTATATATGTGTGTATATATATGTATATATATATACATATAATATAACAACTAATGAAAAATAGGCCATGAATTGGATAGAGAGCAAGGAGGGATATATGGAAAGCTTTGGAAAGAGGAAAGGGAACATAGAAATGATGTAATTATATTAAAATCTCAAAAGTAATAAATAATTTTTTAAAATGTGGGTTGGAATGTTTATTGTGTTGAAGTGTTTCTTGTGGCTGAAACACAGAAGGAGAAGGCTGATATGGGAAGGGAACAAGGCAGGAAGGGGTGAAACATGAACAAAAGAAAGGGCAGGAAAGCTAAGCTAGCCAAGTAGGGCTTTCAGGAGCAGACTGAGAAGGAAATCAAATACCAGTCTTAAGAGGTCAGCTTTAGACAGGATAGAGCAGAGGCCAAACAGCACCATGTGAAACCCAAGTTACTACAGACAACCATGGGTCAGAATTACTGGAAGAAAGTCTCAATCATCAAGGATTATAATCTATAAGAAAAAAAAAACCTCCATAGAGTTCCATTTGCCAGAACCACTGAATCTCACTGAAAAGTGACTTTCAAGTAGCAGTATAATATACATTTTATTTTGGTGGTGGTGGTGGTTGTTTATTTTGTTTTGAGATGGGGATCTCTCTATGAAGCCCTGGATGTCCTGGAACTCTCTCTGTAGACCAGGTTGGCCTCGAACTCACAGAGATCTGCCTGCCTCTGCCTCCCGAGTGCCGGGATTAAAAGCATGCACCAGCACGCCTGACTATGATGTACACTTTAAATTGATGTGCTAAACAGGAGACAGTAGAGCTCAGCATTGCAGGGTCTGAGCTAGCTCACCAGGGCACAGTTGTCTATCTCCTGGTCACGCCTCTGCATCTGGTGGATGGTGCTCTCCCACTGCCGGATGAGCTCTTGTCGTTCAAGGTGAATCTTCCGGAAGTCTTGTGCAGCTTTATCTAATTCTAACTGTCAAGACAGATAGAAGGTTACACTTCCATTACTAAAATGCTTCTGCAAATATCACCTTGAAAAGTAAGGAGACTTTGTAAACCAACCTGTGCACTTAGCGTCTCTGTTAGTTCATTGTCTAGAAGCTTCCTTTTCTCATTACACTCCAAAGTCAGCCTTTCTAACTGCAGGGTCAGTGCCTGTGGTGTGGGTACATAGAAAATACATAACTACCAGTTATTTGAGTTTTAAAGCTGGCATATAGCATATCTAGTATTCTTTCTCATCACATCTTATGTAAACACTATATAAACAATATAAAATAATATGTATTTTCCTCATTGTCTAGCCCCAAGGATTAATCTACTGTTTGATTATACCCTCTTGAAAATGCACTTGTTTCTAAGATGCTTTTTAACACAAATTAGAAAAAAAAAGGCAACTATAACCTGCCATTTGAAAATATTTAAAATAATGCATTTGGTATTTAATCTACTAGAAATTGCATGTTTGTGACACTGACCTCGTTGTCACCAGGAGAGATTCCAAGTAGATTTTACATAATATTACAATGACTTAACAATTGCAATATAATCTCAAATCAATACATTGAAGTAGAATAATCACCAATCAACTGTATATCTCAGAACATAGCTTGATGTTGTATGGATATCTACATACTATTTGGTGTTCCAAGCTTCTTTTTTGTTGTTGTTGTTGTTGTTGTTGTTGTTTTTCGAGACAGGGTTTCTCTGTGTAGCTTTGCGCCTTTCCTGGAACTCACTTGGTAGCCCAGGCTGGCCTTGAACTCACAGAGATCTGCCTGGCTCTGCCTCCCGAGTGCTGGGATTAAAGGCGTGTGCCACGACCGCCTGGCTCCATGCTTCTTAATATCCCCATTAGTTATCTATTTGGCACTTCATCTTGAAGTACTGCCTTCAAAGAAAGTTATCCAGAGATGCCAGATAATGAAATGGTAATGAGATTTAGTCTTTAAAAAAACATTTTTGGTGTGTGTGTGTGTGTGTGTGTGTGTATGTGTGTGTGTGTGTGTGTGTGTGTATAATATAATTATGGTTTTTAGACCATGACACACATTGTGGAGACTGGAAGACAACTTTGTGGGGTCTCCTTTTTTCCATCTTCATATGGTGTTCACAACGAGGTTACCAGCCTTGCACACCACAGACGTTTCCCACTGAGCCATCTCACTGATGCTCAAATAAGATTAGTTAAAACATTACATCAGTAGAATATTGTCTCCTTTTTCAGATTGTAAACATATTTTCATCCAAGGATGGGGAAAACAGGACAATTTGAATAATAAATCCTATTTTCAAATAAAAAATATTAAATCAATAGAACTTACATGTAATATTCAAATTAAATATCAAAGTATCCAAAATTAATTGTTCTAGTACGACTAGAATTTTCTTTTCTAAAATGCTTTAACAAGTCCTTCAAAGTCCTAACCCAGTTCTCCAGTGGGTCGGAGGGCTTCAAAGGATTAGCAACAGAATCCAAAATGTGCTGTAGCATTTGACTGCAGTCAATTTTCTAGAGAAATGACACTGGATTTCAATAGCTTCTCAGAGGAGTCCCTGGCACAAACCTTCAAGGATAGTTGCCTTTAACATCAGTAACTACAGCTTCATGTTTTAAAAGTTGCCTCAGAGAGGAGTCGTTCTAGCAATTTCTAACGTCTCACCCTGATTTTGTTATCGTCTTGCTTGGAGTACTTCTGAAGGGTGAGAGAGTCATTGTCTTTATGAGCCGACTCCTCTAGCCAGGCCTCCAGCGCTTGCTGGTCCCAGTTCATCTGACATTTCAAACCATCCAGCTTTTGAGTAGCTTTAAATATGCCAGTCTAATTTCCAAAGAATGAGGGAGAAAAGGTGGGGACAAAACATTATTTTGCATACTAAAACAAAACATAGCATTATACTACCAAACACAGGGAGAAACCCAGTCTTGCCTTCCATATAACACAGTATAGTCACTTTTTTTTGGGGGGGGGGGTTGGTTTTTCGAGACAGGGTTTCTCTGTGTAGCTTTGCGCCTTTCCTGGGACTCACTTGGTAGTCCAGGCTGGCCTCGAACTCACAGAGATCCGCCTGCCTCTGCCTCCCGAGTGCTGGGATTAAAGGCGTGCGCCACCACCGCCCGGCTATAGTCACTTCTATCACTACCATGCTTGTATTTTAATTCTCCAGTTCTGAAATGGAGATGATCATACATGGCCAAGAACATTGAAGCCAAAGATCTTGTGAAAAAGCCTGAGGGTGGTTCTCTATACAGAACTCATTAGATCCCCCACACACACCAAAGTCACCCCAAATGTGTGGGAGTGTGTGCATCAGTTAAAATAGCTTGTTTGGTATGATAGATAAACCCCCTGACAAGTACCCTCCATCCATTTCCAGTCGTATCTGCTACCCTAAAGAGGCCTCTTATATAGAGATTTGGGAGCATTTTTAATTGAATTAAATATAGTGTAGGGGGTAAATTACGTCTGTAAATATTACTTAAGGAATCTATAATCACAAAAGAGCAGGGAATGTATAAGTAAAATCAGTAAACATTAATTGCACTGCATATATAAATGTTATATTACAACATTAAAATATGAATGTGAGTGTATATGCATTTTATTTATTAATGACTGATGAAGAAGGGCCCAGCACACTGTGGGTAGTGTTCCTGGGAGGTATAAGAAAAGTAGCCGAATGTGAGTCTAAAAACAAGCCAGTATGGAGTGAGTGTTCCTCCATGGCTCCCGCCTCTGCTCTGGCTTGCATTCTTGCCCTGACTTCTCTTAGCGCTCGAGAGAGATCAGTACATGTAAACCAAATAAACCCTCTTCCCAAGTTGCTTGTGGTCAGTGTTTATTACAGCAACAGAAATGCTAGCCAAGACAGGTCCCAAATGAGTATGGACGGTAAAAGTTTTAGGTGAAATTTAAAACCAAAAGTGATATGTCTGTTAACAGAGCCGCCTGTACCCGGCAGGCTGCAGAGCAGAGTCCCTGGAGGAAATGAAAATAACTGAAGAATAATAGCAGAAACATAATATTTGATCATTATTTCATTCAAACCACAGCTCTGTGTCTTTTCATTGTTAAAAAAATAGACATATAAGTAAATCACGGAAAAGCTTGGTGCTCCCTGGAGAGCGCAGGCGCAGAGGCAGGACTACAGCAAGTCACACCCACTTCCTTATCGCTCTTGCGTTCCTGGATGGTGTCCATCTCCTTCTGCAGTTTTTGGATCTCATCCTTGACTCGTCCCAGCTCTCTTTCAGCAATGGCCTTAAAATGTTCTTCACTTTCGATTTCATACTCCCTTGCTTTGCAAAGAGACTGAAGAATAATGCACAAAATAGAAGCACTTTACATTTCTATATTATAAAATATAATAAGCTTCTGCATGAAACAGCCCCAACCCAATGCTCGGATGGACGTCTGTTAACTCCATCAGGGTAGAATCTCTCCCACTTTAGCCTGTGGTTACCCAGCAGCTGTTGCTCACCACCCATGAGGAGGTTAACCGTATACTTCTCGGAGGACTACTGTCGGGAGTTCAGATGTTATATGGTATAAACTAAAGAAAAGTAATCTGTAAGAGGACAGTCAGAAGCTAAAACTCATCCCTTACCAAAAAGTAAGAAATATTTGGTATAAATACTTGAGGAAAGGGTGCTTACATTGAATCAATCACATGTAATACTTAACAGATAATCTGAGATAGTATTTACATTTGAGATAATTATTTACATACTAAGGGTGAACATCTCACACAACACTATCAACATGTGTCAATATTTCGTTACCTGTGTAAATAAAAACTCTTGATTCACATTTTTAAGGTGAGAAGTCATAGAATTAATTCGATCTTCATAGTCACGAAGCTGATCTTGCAAGTTTGATTTTTCCTTCTGCAGTTTTGATAACTGTAAGTAATAAATGTCATGAATAACAAGCAAACTAAATCTTCACTTATTTTGTAGCATAGTCAGTTTGAGATGCTGTAACAAAAATACCACAGACTTGATGCCTTAAACAACAGAAATGTATCTGCCACAACTCTGAAGGCTAAGGAACTATAAGATTTCTAGTGAAGCCCTTCTTACCTTGCAAGCAAATGTCTTCTTGCTGTGTCTAGACATGACAGAGAAGTTAGTTCTCTTCACTTCTTACAAGGACACTGATATAATTTATGAGAGCTCCGCCTTTGTAATGGTTGGAATGAGAATGGCCCTCTATAGGCTCATATACTTGGTCCCTTGTTGGTGGAACTGTTTGGGAAGGATTAGGAGGTACGGGCTTGGAGGAGGTGTGTCACTGGGGGCGGGCTTGAGGCTTTAAAAGACTCTTGCCATTTCTAACAGTGCTCTCTGCTTCCTGCTTACAGTTTTGAGATATGAGCTCTCAGCTGTTTCTGCTGCCATGGACTCTAACTCTCAAGAAACCTCTAACCCAAATTAAACACTTTCTTTAATAAGTTGCCTTGATCATGGTGTCTTATCACAGCAACAGAAAAGTAACTTACACAAACATCCCTGCAGAGACCTTTGCTCCCAAATACCATCACACTGGGAATTCAGACATCAAATGAAAAGTTTTGGAAGGATACAAAAAAAAAAAAAAAAAAGGTTACATCCAGTACATGTCATTATTTGGCTTCTTTAAATGTTCACAAGAAAGAACTTCTTTAAAAATCTACTGATTTTTTTTCTTTTCTTTCTTTTTTTTTTTTTTTTTCCTTTTGGTTTTTTGAGACAGGGTTTCTCTGTGTAGCTTTTGGAGTCTGTCCTGGAACTTGCTCTGTAGACCAGGCTGGCCTTGAACTCACAAAGATCTACCTGCCTCTGCCTCCCTAGTGCTGGGATTAAAGGCGTGCACCACCACCACTGAGCATACTGACCTTTTAGATATATTTAAAAAAAAAACTTAGAGATAATATTAGGACAATTAGTACTTTAGTTTACATGATGTAATCACCCTTCACTTTGCAGTACCAGCAGGGTCATTGCTGGAACACACTTCTCACATAGCAGGGTTATTTCCCTGTAGGCAAATGTGAAACTCTATCCCATGGCTAGTCCATGGGCTGTCTTCTTGGGTTTCTACCATTGTGATACATACCATGACCAAAAGCAACTGAAGAGGAAATGGGTTATTTCATCTTACACTTCCAGATAACAGTCTATCACTGACAAAATTGGGCAGGGACTCAAGCAGGGAAGGTAACCTGGAGGCAGGAACTGAAGCAGAGGCTATGGAGGATGCTGCTTACTAGCTTGTTCCACACTGGTTGCTTAGCTTGCTTTCCTATACAGCTCAGGACCACCTCCCCATGGATGACACTTCCCACTGTGGGCATGGTCCTCCTGCATCAATCAGTAATCAGGAAAATACCGCACAACCTTGCCTACAGGCCAGTCTGATGGAGATATTTTCTCAGTTGTGAGTTCCTTCTCTCAGATCACTCAAGCTCATGTTAAGATGACAGAAAACCCAGCTAGCCAGCACACTTGGTAAACATGATCAGGAAAATAAAGGGGCCAGTAAATGTTTGCTCTGCAAGCCTCCACATAAAAAGCCAGGCATGACGACATGCTCTTGTCGCTCCAGTACCGAGGAAACAGAGATGGGAGGATTTCTCAGACTCACTGGTCTGCCATCTTAGCCTATTCCGGGAGCCCCACATCCCAATAAGAGACCCTGCCTCAAAAAGTAAGGTAGAGGGAGCCTGAGGAATGACAGCTAAAGTTGACCTCTGGCCTCTGCACACATGTGCACACATGTGCACACATACATCCACCACCACACATTCCAAACATATACGCCAAAAAAAGAAAGAAAGAAAGAAAGAAAGAAAGAAAGAAAGAAAGAAAGAAAGAAAGAAAGAAAGAAAGAAAGAAAGAAAGAAAGAAAGAAGCAAAGGCTGGGGCCATAAAACCTACATAGGTTCAAATAATGAATACATAGTCAGCAGGATCGGATCATTCTTCTAGGATGACTCTTATACACTCATAGATTTAATGAATTTAGGTAAAGCCTAACAGAATACTCTTGCATACTTAGAACCAGTATGTTAACAAATTTTGCTAATAGAAATAAGACACTGTATAGATGCTAAACAAACAAAATAAACTTCTGAGGAGTTTCCAGGAAGCTGGAACACAGTGCACCAAGCCTGGGTCATCTGAGAGCTCAGGAAGTAGTGTGTCCTCATGGTCTTGAACTACATGCCTTCACCAAGGGTACCACCTTTCCACTGAAACACAGAAGCAAGTCGTAGGACTTTTACCCAGTGAAGACAAAAACACTGATTTACTCAGTTGTTTCTTGGATTTTACTAAACCTGCAGACTAGCATTATTAGATCTTAGTACTGCTGTGAATATGTCGGAGTCTGATAGGCTTCTGTTCATGCTGGCTGTTGCATTAGCTTTTGTTCTCGGTTTTAACTCTCTTTTGTTGACTTTGACACTGTTGCTAAGATTTCCTTACTTCTATGTCTTCTGTGTATTGGTATTTTGTCTGCATATTTGCCTGCACACCGTGTGCATGCCTCCTGCCTGCAGAGGTGAACAGAGAGCATCTGACCACCCAGAACTGGAGTTACAGATGGTGTGAGTCATCTGGGAATCAAATCTGAGTCCTCTGAAAGAGCTGGGCCATCTCTCCAGTCCCTTGATGCTGTTTTTAAATTCACTGAGTTCTTAGCTTCTTCACTTTTTTACTTACTGGTTTAACTATGGAGGTGTGTAAGGCTACATATTTTCTCTAATTTCTTTTTCTGCTTCCCATGGATCTGGATACAAAGAAGTCCCCTTGAATTATTTTCTGAAGGATTTTTCCAGTTCAATTTCTTGTTGATATAAGACTAACCAAGAATGTGTTTAGAGAAAGATGCCTCAAACTTTAAAAAAAAAAAGATTTTTTGAAATTTTCTCTGTAAATTCTGTTGATTTAATGTCAGGGCCCATGGCTTGCAAGATTTCTGTTTTATCTACTATAAATTCTGTTGTATCAGGGAATATGAGCTTTAATATTTCTATTTTTATGATATTTTAGGGACTATAACAGTAAATGACACAATAAAAACATTGCAATTTTAACCATTTTGAGATTACATTGCACAGAATTAAATACACTCACCTGTTGTACTACCACCACCACCCACCACCACCACCACCAA